ATGAATGAATGATAGGCAAGAGGTCTGGGCAGCCATAACTGTTTCAGTTCCATGAATACAAGCACATGGTACATGCAAACCTACAACATAAGTGTAGAGTTTCTCATCACAAAGAAACAAATAACAGAAATAAACATCACAGCCATCTGTTGGCTTTTTGGTATTGTGTGGCTCTCCCTTGTACCTACAGCTCATTGTTGGATAAATTCTTTTTTGAAAAAAACACAGAGACAAAATCAAAAATAAAATCTATGCTACAAGATACTGGACACATGGAGTGAAAAGCTACACCCCAGCTCCTGCCAACAAAGAGAAACCTGTACTAAAGAATGGGGATCATTCCATATCATTTCATATCATTTCATGCCTATTCACTTGAAAAAGTGTTACTGATTGCTTGGGTGATCCTTTGAGGACCTTCCCCTCAAAATTAATATTAAGCCCTGTGGTGAGATATAAAAGCATGCCAGAATCCACAGAACAGAAAGTCTATAAAGGCCCTTCTGCATGTGCAGATTGCACACTGCACATGCTCAAGGGAAAATGAGATTTTTCAATCAGAGGGAAAAAAACAGAAGAAGAAGAAGAAGAAGAAGAGAAAGTTTGCTTTATTGAAAAAGAAAAAAGAAAAAGAAACCTGTGCTTATGCAGTTGAGCCTTTTACAAATAGATATAAAAGCTTCATTGCAATAATATATGGGGATTTGTGGAAGAGTTTGCAATACGAGGTCATAAAACTCTGCCATTGTATATATATATATATATATATTTGTAAAATTTTGAAATTTTATTAAAAAGACTAATCTCTTCTTTTTAATGTAATATATAGATAAAAATATCATTGTATACAATTATCTAATATTTTTTTGTATTATATAGCCTATTACAAAAGGATTATTAATAAATGAGCCAAATTGAAACCAATATCACATTATGTACGTATGAAATAGGATGGTTAGGACTTTGTATAACCTTCTTTCTATGTACTTTACTTTAATATTATGTACCAATAGACTTATATGTACTTATAAAATATATTTTCCTTTACTCTTTTTATTTTCAAATAAATATTAATATTCAATTTCTTTGTTGCATGAGTATGTCCAAAATTTTGAGCCCAAGAGTTTCTTATGTCAATCTTGAATAATTTTGTTATCTATCTATCTATATATATATATATATATATATATATATAATCATGTGCTTATTAAATGATATTCGAAGAATACTATTCTACTCTTTGACTTATTACAAATAAATTATTAAAAATGTTTTATCATTAGTATAAATAGATTTCGACTAAATCATTATTATTAAATATACATAATAAATTTTGTCTAGATCTATTAAATCATCAAATTTGACTTCTTTAGGCTATAAAACTAAGTTCAAGGAATAACTTCTAATAATATATTTAAAATTACAAATATATATAGCCTCTAAATATAGTTATTATTTTGTGAAATAATTTTCATAATATAATGATACTGCATTGGTAATTGTGATATTTTTCATAGATCTTTAATATAATAATAATAATAATAATATAAGAAGAATTATAGTAGAAACAACAAAGAACCAGATTTCTTTTAAGAACCTTAATTTTAACTTATATACAAAATTTAAAGACTAATAATATAATTATAAAAAATCTATTAAAGATATGTAATGAGATCTAAAATAGTAAAATAAATAAGTTTTTGTACATGTACTAGTATTCAGATGCATTACTTTGGCCAAAATACCTAGTAATGAAAATAAAACAAAATTAAATATACAAGATATCATTTTTTTAATATTAAAAATATCATGTATATATTTATATATATATATATATATATATATATTTAAAAAACAAGTAGGATATCAAAAGTTTAAACAACATATTTTTTGATAATAATAAGATATCAAAGACACGAATTTCAAAGAACTAAAAGATCAATAAATTTTTATGTCACTCAAATGATTATAAAATCATTCAAAGATGTTATATTAATAATATATAATGGCTATTGCTAAAGATAAGAAGACTAGAAAGTCTTAAAATAAGACTAAGGACTGAAAATGTATTAGTAAGAGTGAAGAAGATTTCACTCTTGCCTCCATATATACTATCTAGTTAGGAGTTATATAGCAAGATTGATATATTATATGTATTCTTGCCTGAGAATGTATCAAATATCTAGCTATGGAAGGTAAATAGAAATGCAACAACAATCCTACTAAGTCTAATAGAATCTTAAATAAACTTTAAGTAAACCTTAATAATCCTAATCAAACTTTGACCAATCCAAAATAAATTTAAAAGAACTTATAAAAGAAACACAAAAAAGTCTCAAATTAATCTCAAAGAAAAATAATAAGATATCTTAAAGAAATATAAAAATAAACCTTTAAAAAAATAACAATAATCTTAAAGAAATATTAGGAATAATAAATTTTAAATAAAAAATAAAGTATCCTAAAGAAATACTAAAAATGAAACCATAATTGAATCTTAATCAATTCCTAAGTCAAATCCTAATTGAAATCCTAATTGAACCTTAATAAAACCTTAGGTCAAATTCTAATGAAATTCTAATAAAAACCTAAAACCTAGATAAATCCTAAATAAACCCTAATCAATCTCTAGTCAAGTTCTAAACCAAATCCCAAGTAAACTCTAATCCTAACAAAATCTTAGACCAAATCCTAAGTTCTAACCAAACTGTAGACAAAACCTATAATAAAATGGAACCTCAACAACTAATGATCAAACCTTTGATATCAACTCAAAATTTGCATGCTTCTTAATATCTTAGTTAGAAACAAGCTTAAGAAAGATAAAATTGATTACACTTACCAATTGAGAGAAACACAAGATAATTTAATTGGGTATTGAGTCGCCTCCTACTTCAACCTAAATGCTAAACTTCCAATACCAATACCTCCTTCATGTACCATTGAATTGCTCTCAAATTTCATCTTAATGCTGGAAATCAAGTCTAGTATCTATAAAAAATAAAAAATAAGAATCTTTTTAATCTAACTGACATTGCTAAAGATCTTAGAAAAAACTTATTAACCTTTAAAATCCAGTTTTTGAGACCTCAACCCACAAAAACCTTTATACACTTTGATCTAACTATTCAATTGATTTCAAAATTTGCACACACATTTATAACTAGCATACCAATACATTGCTCAAAATTCATCCACACACATACTACAAAACTTAAGAAATCCTCAAATTTATAAGCATATCTTTATTTCTCAAAGTCTAAACCAATTGAGAACATCTCTAACTTTGAAAATTCCTCAAAACTCAATATTGATTCTATTGATATAAAACCAACTTGTAAAAATCTTTTCTCAAGTATGCTCTCAAATACCACTCTTCAATGTACCTACTAATGAACTATAAACATGTTTAAAGTGAGGTACAAGTCTATTGTCATCATAAAATTTTGATAGAATTTAATAGAATATAAGCCACTTGTATTCAAAATTTTATGATTAAATAATATTTGTGTTTTTATGCTTATGATTGATTTATATGACATTAATTGATGTAATATTCACAAAAATTTATGTACAATTTTTTATTTTCGAAATTAATCCCATTTTTGATCTCAAAGTCTGGATTTAAGACATCTGTTTACATGCATTCAATAACAATTTGCTTTGATTGAGCACATTCATATCTTAACTATAGGAATTTCATGGCTTTGTGTATAGGACTTGTGGGCCCATAAACACCCACTTCAGAAATAGATCATTCTAGATGGGTTTTGTGCAGCTCTAGGCTCATTTGATTTCCTTCTTTTTTCTTCCTTTCTAATGGTGACATTTCTCCACCCCACCAACTTCATGATTGCACACAAGAGGATTTTTCAGGCAGATTTTGCTAGATGGGATTTTGTATTATTTTATTTTTGTGATAATGTGTGTGTGATATTTACAAATAAATATTCTGTTCGCTGACAAGCTTATCTGAATGCAATGACATGAGGCACCAGACCACCACAGTGTCAAAGCTGGTGCAATCCCATTTGCCCTTGAAAAGAACAGTGGGCAGGCAAGCCCAAAAAGAAAAAAAAGGTAAAAACAAAGAAGAAGAAGAAGAAGAAGTAGAAGGATCTGTTCCCAGAAAGCAATTACTACTACTATTATTATTTATATATTTTTTTAAAAAATAATAAAAAACCTCAAAAAAATGAATAATAAATGAAAAGGTAAGTTCCGGTACCCATGAGTCCCTGAGGGCCTGGCTCCAAAGAGAAATGTACGGGAGCTGCAACCAAGGCCGGATCATCATGGATACTGGGCACTAGATCATTCCTCGTCGCAGCACAAGCCTGCTGCATTTACCCACTCCAGCAAGGGCTTGAATCACCTAGGCATTGGAGCTGAACGCCCTTCTTCAACACTACATGTCATCCCCAAAGCAAGCCAGAAAGATGATACTACTGCAACTTTATGACTATTAGTGTTAGTATTAGTATTATTATTATAACAGTTGCTAATGTTAATGCGAATATCTCTAAACGGTGGTCGATTTCACATCTCTAAACGGTGGTTGAGAGTACCCACAAACTAAACACGAGTTGACGGACCAAAGCACACTCCCTATAAATCTGAAGGAATTGATTGAGCATCAAGAGGATCACTCACTTGATAGCGAGTGTGCAAAGGTTCAGCTCATCTGAATCGGTTGAGGCTTAAAAGCAAAAAGAAACACACACACACACACACACACACACACAAACAAACAAACAATCAAAACAAAAAATCAAATACACAAAAAAGCAGGCATCCATGATTCTAGGTAAAAGGCAAATAATAAAAACATATATTAAAAAAAATAAACTAAGTGATCAGAAGATCGACCACTTTTGAGGCTTAGATCAGCATCGCTGCTTCTTCTTCTTCTTCTTCTTCTTTTACGTCTTCTTCTACAAGCTTTATAAAGCCAAATGCTGTTGCAGCATACCAATGATCCATGGTATTCCAGAGAGTATTTGAGAGGTTTACGATGCGGTTCATTGAGTTGGATCTTCTCCGTCAGAACAGGACCCACAAATGGCGAACATGATAGCGAAGCCAAAGCTCTCACAGTACAATTTGGGTCCACAGGAGCTGCCTATCTCGTTTTGTGATTGTTATGTTAAGCTGCAGCATAGCTTCAAGAGAAGGCGCACCCACCAGAGCAAGCAACCGAGAGAGAGACATGCAGACAGACAGACAGAAAGAGCGCGTGATATTTGCAGGTTGGTTGACTCGAAGATCATCCTCCTCGAGAGTGTGAATGGTGTACAGCATCGCATGCCTGCACGCGCACACGCACACACACACACAAAGCAGAGCTTCAGATTCGTTTTTTCCGAGACTGCGCTGCCCTACACGAAAAGCTCGAGCTGTAGACACTCTCTTTCTTTTTTTTAGCCCCTTCTTGTTTTGTTCCTGGGAGAGGTAATAAAAGCAGCCTTCCCCTACAAAAACGGGCAGCAGGGAAGGGGAAAGGGAAAGGGATGCAGGCTTGAAGATCGTTCCGCCTGGTTCTGCTGTGTGATGATTAATGATAGGCAGATGACATTGTTCTAGCACAGCCTGCTCGAGGCATTTAACTCTCCAGCGAGGAGGAGCTTCAATTTCTCAGCAAGCAGCTGTTGAGTAGCTGTGTTGTCGAGTGAATGAGCGTGTCGGGGAGTTAGCTCGTAGGAGTAACACAACTCTGAGGTTGTCACCTCGTAGGTGTCTTGTTCTTTTGTGGTGTAAAAACGAGGCTGCTTGAAGGGAAAGGCGAGTGATCCTCAGAGAGGATTCTGGGTGTTGTAGCGGGAGTCAGATTGGAGATTGGAGATTTGGCATTGAAGAGGGTGTTGGTTGTTTTTCTTGAGTTTATAGTTTGATTTGGTGTCCTTCTGTTTAGTTTTTATCTTCTGCGACACCCGACAAAAGGATTCTTTGAGGTTAGAAGGGAATACATGTGGACTCAAAGAGCAGCATGTCCGTGCTTGTCCAGTCGACGTGGGGAATTGGTGGTGGGAATAAACTGGCAGCAACAATGCAAGGACTTTTGGGACCCGAAGCTGGTTATGGTAGACCTGCAGCCGAATGTGCTTGGGATGGCGCGGGCAAAAGTGGCAGTCGGCAATGGAGGCAGGCAAGCGGGGTTGTTGAAGGAAGGGGGAGAGACCACCGCCACCACCACGACCACGCGAAAGATTGGTTGCTTGGAATTCGCCGGGAGGCCGGACAATGTGGACAGGTCTACTACAACGATGACAGGGGTGGAGACGCAGAAAGATCGTGTGATAGTCATCGCAGGTCCAACTGGAGTGGGCAAGTCGCGCTTCGCGATAAACTTGGCGAAGCAGCTCGGGGGCGAGATCATCAGTGCCGATTCAATACAGGTCCCTCCTCTCGTCCTTTGATGCATTGTCCCTGACGTGCTGTGGTCCACACTTACTGTGATATCGGTCCACATTCACTGATCCTTGTCCTTGAATAACCACCCTGGGCGTTTTTGAATATCCTTCTTGACTAGCAGCGCTGTTCTTGAGTTTTTGTCATTTTCGTGGAACGAAAGATTCGGAATATGAGCTCGTAGGTCCGTAACATTGTAGCAGGAACTGCTTGTGGATCACAATGTGGATGCTCTTTGCGAAGGAATTCCAGCTCCTCTGTGGCGGTCGTTCCATGTTGCCTATTCGTTTCAAGTTTTGATCTGTCCTCATTTTGCTTTGCGCGGCAGTATGTGCCGTTCTTGCTGTGCTCCATAAATAGTTCCTTATCAAGATTGTCACTACAAGTTCTTTAGGACGGATATCTTGAGTCCTCTTGTCAATCCTCTCACTATAGCCGAAGTCAGCTTGACGTCCACCCAAGCACAGTAGGCAGACCAAATCACATTTTTCTTTCAAATCAAAACAGTCTTCGAGGTAGCAGGTTCTTCCTGTTTAGCGGAACATTGCATGCAGCTCAACATGAGCTTCTGTTATCTACTGGAAGGCGATTCCTCTCCTGATTCACCTGTCGTAGCCTTTGAGACCTTTCACATGAACATTGCTTCTTGTCTCACTGAATTGCAGGTTTACAATGGCATGAACGTCGGAAGCGCGAAGACGCCATTGCATGAGCGAGAGGTGGGCTCGTGATCGATAACATTACTGCCAATCTATTGCTCCTCTTGACCTCTCTGAATCATCTCCAACGATCCTACTGTAGCTCACATATTATTGTTATCTTTTCAATGCTAGTGGTGATCCATTCTTGGATTGCAGTTAAACATCTTGATCCCTTAATAGAAGATGGCAAACAACACTCTCTATGCAGCTGACCTCCCTTGTTGTTGATTTCGATTCGGATTTTAACTTCTCCCCCCTCTCCCCCTTCATTCAATTTAATTCATTTTTAATTAACCTCTTGCAGGGCGTTCCCCATCACTTGCTTGACATAGTTCCTCCTACAGAAGGTCCGTATTGCATATTCCTCATGGTTGACAGCATCTCACGAAATGTTCTATTGTATTTTGAGGTCGTCACAGCAAAACCTAAAAGTAAGAATAAAATCGTATTTCATGGGTAGCTCGATAGGACCTGATAAAGCGAACTGAATGTGATCGCCCTCAAACGTTTCTTTGAAGGGACCAGAATACTCAGCCAGCCGATTTTTCAAAGACGCCAGAGATGCCACGGAGCTGGTGCTGGCGCGCGGCCGCGTACCCATAGTCGTTGGAGGCACGTGCACTTACATGCGCAGGTATGGACACCATTGCCTACCAGCTCAAGCATTCACTGATTCAAAGGCATTCCTAAGTTTGTCAGCATGAAACCTTTGTCTTAATGAGTCTTTGCAATTTGCAAGGACGTTTGTGCTTACTGTCTGCATTGATGGTTGACGACTGCAGGTACATGAGCGGAAAAGCTCTAGCTCCGAAAGCTACTCCTGAAGTGAGTGCTGTTATTGAGGCCGAAATTCGACGTTTGGTCAGTCGCCCTGGAGACTGGGAGATGGCTGCACTTAGATTAACCAAAGCAAGTGATCCTGCGAATGCTTACAGCTTTGCCCGTAACGATTGGTACCGCCTTCGTCGCGCCCTCGAAGTAACAATGGTTTGTGACAATAATCTTCTCTTAGTCAAAACAAAGATACTGTTAATAGTTTAAATACTTTAAGCCGTTGTGGCGTTGCAAAATCAAATGGCGAGTGGCAATCAGAAGTCTCACATCGGTGTGTAGCGGATGCATGTCTCTGGCCAGCCTCGGAGAGCTTTTCCTAAGCAGCACAACTACACGGTGGATCACATGGACGGATTGGAGTGGGATTCTGATTATGACTTCCAGTGCTACTTTTTTTATCAACATCGCAAGGAGCTGTATCATTGTATAGATCTGCGCTGCGAACAGATGATTGCAAGTACGACTCATGGAAGTTCCGTGCGATTGCAGCCTCGATAGATCAGCTTCAGTTTCTTGCGTTCCTAAGAACAGATACGGATTAATGACGCCAGACTCATATAATTGATTGATGTTGCAGATCCACGGGGTTTGCTACAAGAAGCATCATGGCTTCTAGATCTCGGATTAACGCCTGATTCAAGTTTCTCATCTCGTGGGATTGGTTACCAGGAAGTAAGCTCCACCATTCTCCACTGGCGCATGTGACCCAGAGTTCTGATTGGGATTAGTGAATAAATTCCGCGATCAGTAGGGTACAGAGTTTCAGTTTCCAGATGTTCAAGTGTTCTTCATTTAATGCGTCGTCCCTGATTGTTGGAAAACATGAATTGATGTGCTTTAACCAGCAGACTTGTGTGATGATCCTTATGGCAAATCAGGCGATGGAATTTCTGATGGAATGCCGGAAAGCTGGGGGAAGGAGCACTGAGGAGAGGTTCCTGGCTTTTCTATCAGCTTTCCAACATGTTTCAAGGTAAGAGGCGATAGTAAACTTGTCTGTCACTGGTCTTATAGTACAATGAACTAACCCGAGGATTAGTTCTTTATGTTGATATGCTACTCTGTAAACAAAACACTAACGCATGATTTTGGTTTAATAGGAGCCTGGTAAAAAAGCAACTTGCATGGTTCCGGAGCAATAAACATAGCGACGTAAAGCAATTTCACTGGATTGACGCTTCTCAGCCAACGGTAAGAAGATTCGCAAGCACCATTCCGTGAATCACACCTCTGTTGCTCTAACCTGGAAAATGTTATCCTGCAGTCACCGTTAGCCTTCATTTCCTTGCCTTGAAGCACAATTCACGTTGAAAAATCCTAGAGGCCATCATACGGACACTATCATTAAATGCAGGAAACTGATGTATAGTCTCAAAAAACAAATCTCAACACTTTGTTTTGTTTCAAGTTCAGGATAAGATTTTGGAAGCATTGAGGAAAGAATACTGGCGACGGCCGGGATACCCATCTGAATTGAGCGGAAGTGACGATGTGAAGCACGCTAGTTACATGGAGGGAAAAATTCTGCGATATTACGAGGTTAAAAATAGGTGAGGCTTTTTATTTTTTATTTTTTATTTTTTATTTGTTTACTGAACATCAGAGAGTCATTATCTGCGTTTTTCCTTCAGAAAATAGGTAAGGTTTCGAACTGCTTGCAACGATGGAAGAAACTCTGTTTTTGGAGCATCCTTCATTAGATTTCAATTTAAAAGGGTACCTTTTTTTCCTTCAGAATAACATTTGTTGCGTGATGGATTTGCAGGATTTTTACGAACCCATCGGCAATTGCAACTGTTTTGGTGTGGGTGAAGCAGACACAAGGAGACCGGAGTTTTCAACGGAGTGTAGTTAGATTCTGATTAAGCCGACATACTGGGGACGAACCCCATATCAAGTCCTGGTCACTTGTCTGCAGTTTAAAAGTAGGTCTGGTAAAGCATCTTTCAGGCCTCTCTAACATTATGCACGGAAGTAACAAATCAACAAGGATATTGTCATGGATGCAGTTTTGGTAGAAAATGTTATTATTTTTTATTATTTTTCTTCTTGATTCATCTTAAGAGCAATCTGTACATATTGAATTCTAAATTTTTCCAAATAACGTAAATCCCTACCTTCACTTGTCTGTCTGGCTGTCTTTCTGTTATTTTATTTCTGTGCCTTTCCGGCAGATTTTCATTCTAGGAGCAGACATTGGTGTCTCGTGCTAATTTCATGGATTTATGAACAAACTCTGGATTCTATCTTTTCTAAATCAAGTCCTGCTCACCTGAATATAGTATTTGGTATCTAACATGCGGAATCTGCAGCGTGAATTGGTGTCATTATGAATAACAGTTTAATCATAAAATCTTTCGTTACATCTGTTTGGTTTGAATGTTCGATGTTGCTTCACCATTTGCTATTGCAAAATATATCATTCAAAAGGATAAAACAGAAAGAAGAGCTTATGCACATTTTTAGGTGTAGATCTCAATGAATGTCACTTCAAGACAATCTTCTTTCTAAATTTATTGCAAATAAAAAAAACTGTAATATCTATTCTCTTGTATACGTATTTACTACACCTTTTTTCAGAGATTTTATTAAATCACATGTCAATCAAGATTTCATAAATAATAAAATTTATTCACAAACAATTATGTAGTAACAAGATAGTTTGGACTCCTTAGAATTTAATGGTAGAGATGTAGCCACCATCTTTAGGTCTCAAAGCAATAGTTTAGGAGGTCTCATGGATTCATATAGTTAGAACTTCTTTTTCTTGGTCATTAATAAAGTCATGCCAATTTTTTGTTAGGCTTTGGAAACAAATTTGGTTTTTGTGATTTTTCTATTTTAAGTATTAGAATTGGATCTTAATCATTTATGCAAAAATAGGAATTTTTGTTATAATTGTATGAACATAATATTTTTAGAATTTAAAATTTAAACAAAGAAACAAACTCAAATTTAGTTAAGGGACATATATTGCCTTCATAGTTTGATAGTTCTATTTTAGAAGATATTTATTTAGGGTCATATTGTAGAACATTATTTGCATTATTACAATGTACTCAAGTTGTAAATGCTTCTTTTAGCACAATTTTTCTTTACTATACAATTGGATTATAAGTATTTTACAAAGAATAAATCCATGCTTCTCTTTTATTTATTTGAGTACAAAATACTACAACATTTTGGTGAGCCTCAAGTTTTAAAAATACAATGATTAATCTTGTTATTTTTATTTATAGATAAATATTTGATTTTTGAAGAAGTGAGAGAGAGCTAAAAATTATCTTTTTATTGGTTTTTAAAATATATATATATATATATATATATATATATATATTTCTAATCACCACTCATGTCCTAACTTTGCAATAATATTATGACTAATTACGTTTCTATTCTATCTTCTTTATTATATTATCATCCTTTCCTATTGCAATATTTGCTAAATTTTTTGGACGTCATCTAAAGTGCTAATATTTTATCTCCATTGTAAGCTTGCATTATGTCTTCAAATGCATTATAATATTATTTTGTCTTACTTTTGTGGATGTTTGTTTGCTGATAAATGAGGTTTTTAGAACCTATTGGGATGATTTACTACTTAACTAGATGGTGATTATTTTGTATATGGTTTAGAAATGGCTTTGGCTATATTACAATGTAAGTAAAAAAATATATATCTTTGATATTTGGTGCATGTGTATAGACATCAACAATCTATTCTTTCATTATTTGGTTGTGTACTAGGTACTCTACTTCTATATTCAAATCTTTATACAAAAAAGCGTAGTCTAGATTATTTTAAAAATAAGCTAATATCTTTTTGTCAGTCATTTCCTGTTCCTTAACCTTATGTATCTTGTCATCATTATTGCCTTAAAAGTCTTCATGTATTATCTACAATTCTATTTTATAATAACTAATCTTTTGTATCCTAAATCTTGGAAAAAAAGCTCTTGAGATGAAATTTGATTTTGCATCAATTATATTTGTCCATAATTTTAATTGAGCTATAAAATTTTATAGCCAAAAAGATAGAATCATGGATTGAAGACTACATCTTATAAATTCTTGGATTTCTTAGGGAATACTTTGAATACTAACCTTAGTAGGCTCATTTTTTTGGTTTCTTCATTTCTATATCATTTAGTTTCTATCCTTCATCTTTGTTTGATAATCCTGATATATTTATCATATCTATCATTCATTATTGTATAATTTTTTTTCTCGCTTACTAAAGATTAAGGTTTTTTTTGCTAATTTTATTACATTCATGGTAATGATACATATTACCTTTCAAATCCATCCAATATAATTGGCTTCAAAATTTTGTTAGACTGCATATGCTATGAGGCATTCTTGTTCCATTTTTTGAGCCTTTTGTTCCAATTCTTCAACTCTCATCTCTCCTTATTCTTTGGCTTTACATATCTTTTAAAATAACTAGGCATTTGTCACAAGAAGTTTATTGTGGTATTGTCTAATCATTTTGTTGATTATTTCTAATGTCATAATCTATAGATATGTAGTATAGAATTTAGCCTTGTAAATTGCAATCATACCTTGGGAGGCCTCAAGTTCATGTCTAGTATGTGTTAATATAGCCTCATGAGTTGTAATTGTATCTTAGGCTTCTTTGAGCTTCTATCTAATGTATGTTAAAGCTACTTGAAGTTTGTAGATGGTCTTTTCTTAGTGGTCAGAAAATGATTAAATAATGTCACAATGATATACTACTACTCATTGATTGTCTTGTATAATGTAGAGAATTGTGAGGCGCAATCTATTATGCTTAATATATGGTACTCTATGGCTTTGTTGGTCACTACAAGTTGGATTGTGTCATCTTCATTATACTCAACAAAAATAAAGATGAAAAGAATGAAGGACCTTAAATACTAATTCATTATAGACTAGGAATCTTTGGATTGTCTTTGATTTTTTTGCATCAAATTGATCTGATGTTTTTGCACATGCTTATGTGATTTTTCAATTTAGAATATTTTTTTATATTCTTTTGATGTATCCACAACTTATAGGTATTGATAGTAATATTGGCATAATTTTTCTTGTACCTTAATTATAGATCCTAATTAAGGTAGTTCATTATATTTACAAAAATAGACCAAATAACAACATATATATAAGGTGAGGAATGGATAGATGAATTTATTAGTATGTAGATTGTAACTAAGATGATATAATTTAATATAGAGGCATTCATCTACAATCATGCCTTTATTAATATATTTTCTATTGCACACCATTAAATATATCTATATATAATAATACCTTCAAAATCTTAGCCAAAAAATAGATTCATATATTGAGGTGAATATTTCACCTCAATTCTTTCAATAATTCATGTGGAATATTTTCCATCAAGTATCATGGTCTTTATGAATTCTTTGCACTACTAGATGTTGACCTCATTTTAAAGGTGATGGTGATACTCTGATAGATTTGCCTTCTTGGTCCAAGTGATATTGGAGCAAACTTCAACTTGATCAGTGCTTTATAGACATAGAACTTTAGTATGAGCTTAGCAGTATCATGAGGTGTGATTTGCAGTCTGAGAATATATGAGATATCTAGATGTAGAGAGTTTAGTTTTAACTTATTAGTTAAGCTCCAATAAGTGATTTATTCCACATTTAACTTATATACAAAGTCTTGGCTCCCAAAACCACTTTACTTTATATAAAATTTCCAAATTATAGAAAAATCTCTAAAAAAATATATTTTTCTTGCAAAGATTTTTTTCTTTTTGAACTTTAGAAATTCATATCTTTTGATCCAACTGTTCTAATTCTCTCAAATTCTTATATAATGTAGTTATTACCCTTAAACTTTACTACAAAAATAATAAACTATAAAATTGCTACCAAACTTTCGGTATCTTAGAAATCCTAGCAAGTACTCTAAACCCTAATTTATAAGCACTTAAGCACTATTTTCTTCATATCTCAAAAACCAAAAATTTAAATACCACAAAATTTATGTACAAAGTTTATTATTATGAATATATATATTTTTAGAAATTTTGAGCCAAAATCTTGTCAAATTGCTCAAGATATAGCTCAAAACACAACTACTAGTGAATCAGGTCACTTACTACCTTTAGATTTGTAAGCACTAACTTCAACCTCTAATGTCTCTTTCATCCGAACTTAGAATCCATTAAAAAATATTCCAAAAATATAGCCAAAAAAGTGTTCTCTCCAATCCTAGTCACTAATTCTTTATTTCTTTTCTTATGCATGCATTATATCCAAAAGAATGCTAGTAGATACAAAATCAATACCTTAACTTTGTGCATGTATATTTCTTTCATATAAACTCCAAATCACACAAAATTTATACCAAAACCATAGCCAAAAATATTAACATATTTCCTAAACACCAAATAAAAGAATTAAAATAATATTTCAAGGATCACCAATGTCTAAAAAGGGTGATTTTAAATGTTTAAAAGTTACTACTAATAAGATTGACTTCAAAAGTTACTATTAAAAAAAATCTAATAATAGTCCTTTTAAATAGCTTCTTTTTAAGATAATATTCTAACTCCATTCTACAATTAATTAAAATTTATTAACATGGCTCTTGCCATGTTACTTAGTAAATCATATATCAAACATATAAAAAGAATATTTTCACATGGTAGCCAAACGACAACATGATAATCGACATCTCTAAAATATCTATCACATGACAAATAAGAGAAGAAGAAGAACTATAAGGTAGAAAGTCAATTGCATCAATGATGGTTTGAATAGTAGAGAAATAGAATGTATCAATGGTGTGATTAGAAAACATAAGAGATGAGAGACAAATTTGAATTGGCTTTAAAAGGTCTAAATTATAAAGATCATTTAGAACCTTTAAATGGTGAATTTTCTGAAATGTGATTAGATGGTCACAATGTAAGCAAAAATTATGGTATTGTTAAGGCTATAAGTGTCAACTAGTAAATTTGAACACCTCCAAATTGCATTGTCTATAGAAATATCATTAATTGTATGGATGTGATTTATAGGTATATATGTATCAAAGGCATCAATCTCAAAGAACCAAAAATTCAATACACTCTTCTATAACTCAAAAAGAATAGAT